GCCGCTAGGGAGCCTACCCGTGCACTAATTTCGTGCACTGGGCCTCTAGTAATAAAATAAAAAGAATAGCCAAAACCTAAAACACTGAACATTAAACGCTGGCAAGGATGTGGAACAGGAGCTCTCATCCATTGTAGGTGGGCATGCAAAATGGTACAGACACTTTGGAAGACAGTTTGACTGTTTCTTTACAAAAACACATACTCTTACCATACAATTCAGCAATCCATCTCACACCTAGATATTTACCCAAAAGAGTTGAAAACACATGTCCACACAAAAACCTGCACATGAATGTTTATAGCAACTTTATTCATACTACCGAAACGTGGAAGCAACCAAGATGTCCTTCAGTAGTTGAATGGATAAACTGTGGTACATCTAAACAATGGGATATCATTAAGCACTAAAATAAGCTACCATGTTCAGACTTGAGGAATATTAAATGCATATTACTAAATTTAAAAAGCCAATCTGAAAAAGGCTACATCCTGTATAACTACAATTATATAACATTCTAGAAAAGGCAGGGTTGAGGGGAGGGAGAAATAAATAGATAGGCAGTGAATCTATTCTGCATGATATTATAATGTCAAAACCGACAGAATGTATGACAGCAATATTGAACCCTAATGTAGACTAGGAATTTGGGGTTATAATGATGTGTCAATGTAAGTTTATCGATTGTAAAAAAATATATCAGTCTAGTGCTAGATGTTGACAGTGCATGTATGGGGCCAGGGGCATATAGGAACTCTCTATACTTTCTACTGGGTCTTGTTGTGAACCTAAAACTGCTATTAAAAGAAACTTTTTTTTTAAGAGGAAGAAAAAAGTATCTGGCCTTCATATTAGTTATATTTTGGTAGCACCCCCAATGTTTTAAGTGTGTGTGTGTGTGTGTGTGTGTGTGTGTGTGTGTGTGTGTGTGTGTGTGTGTGTGTGTGTATGTGTGTATATATATATATATATATGTGTAAAAATATATAAAATGAATGAATAAAGATGTTTTGTTTTGCAAAGAGATTGATTTTCTCTTTTTTTAGAGTTTATTAAATTCTGGTGTTAGAAACACATACCCTTCCTTTGTAATATGTTTCCTGATGCAGCTACAGTATTTTAAAACTCAAACTATATGTGTTACCAAATATGTTATATAGCAATTTGATATATAATCTATCGGGTCTCAGCTTTCCAGATATAAACTTAAAGTTATTATCTCCACAACAGGTTTTTTTTTTTTCATTCTGCATAAAATGAGCTGTATTTTATACTCTTGCAAACAAAATTTAGGTACAATATCTCTCCTTTCTTCAAACCTTCCAAAAAACAAGTTAACCATATTTCACTTCAACTCTGAAAAGATTACCTTCTGAGAAGGTAATAATCTGTCTCCAGAAGCCTAGGGCTGATGATGGATTTTGTTAAGACAATAAAATTA